ACACACACACACACACACACCTGCTCCTCCACACGCTCGCATCTACAGGACAACAGGAGAACACTGAGTCACACACACACACACACACACACACCTGCTCCTCCACACGCTCGCATCTACAGGACAACAGGAGAACACTGAGTCACACACACACACACACACACACACACCTGCTCCTCCACACGCTCGCATCTACAGGACAACAGGAGAACACTGAGTCACACACACACACACACACACCTGCTCCTCCACACGCTCGCATCTACAGGACAACAGGAGAACACAGAGTCACACACACACACACACACACACACCTGCTCCTCCACACGCTCGCATCTACAGGACAACAGGAGAACACTGAGTCACACACACACACACACACACACACCTGCTCCTCCACACGCTCGCATCTACAGGACAACAGGAGAACACTGAGTCACACACACACACACACACACACACACACACACCTGCTCCTCCACACGCTCGCATCTACAGGACAACAGGAGAACACTGAGTCACACACACACACACACACACCTGCTCCTCCACACGCTCGCATCTACAGGACAACAGGAGAACACTGAGTCACACACACACACACACACACACACCTGCTCCTCCACACGCTCGCATCTACAGGACAACAGGAGAACACTGAGTCACACACACACACACACACACACACACACACACCTGCTCCTCCACACGCTCGCATCTACAGGACAACAGGAGAACACTGAGTCACACACACACACACACACACACCTGCTCCTCCACACGCTCGCATCTACAGGACAACAGGAGAACACAGAGTCACACACACACACACACACACACACCTGCTCCTCCACACGCTCGCATCTACAGGACAACAGGAGAACACTGAGTCACACACACACACACACACACACCTGCTCCTCCACACGCTCGCATCTACAGGACAACAGGAGAACACAGAGTCACACACACACACACACACACACACCTGCTCCTCCACACGCTCGCATCTACAGGACAACAGGAGAACACTGAGTCACACACACACACACACACACACACACCTGCTCCTCCACACGCTCGCATCTACAGGACAACAGGAGAACACTGAGTCACACACACACACACACACACCTGCTCCTCCACACGCTCGCATCTACAGGACAACAGGAGAACACTGAGTCACACACACACACACACACACACACACACCTGCTCCTCCACATGCTCGCATCTACAGGACAACAGGAGAACACTGAGTCACACACACACACACACACACACACACCTGCTCCTCCACACGCTCGCATCTACAGGACAACAGGAGAACACTGAGTCACACACACACACACACACACACCTGCTCCTCCACACGCTCGCATCTACAGGACAACAGGAGAACACAGAGTCACACACACACACACACACACACACCTGCTCCTCCACACGCTCGCATCTACAGGACAACAGGAGAACACTGAGTCACACACACACACACACACACACCTGCTCCTCCACACGCTCGCATCTACAGGACAACAGGAGAACACAGAGTCACACACACACACACACACACACACACCTGCTCCTCCACACGCTCGCATCTACAGGACAACAGGAGAACACTGAGTCACACACACACACACACACACCTGCTCCTCCACACGCTCGCATCTACAGGACAACAGGAGAACACTGAGTCACACACACACACACACACACCTGCTCCTCCACACGCTCGCATCTACAGGACAACAGGAGAACACTGAGTCACACACACACACACACACACCTGCTCCTCCACACGCTCGCATCTACAGGACAACAGGAGAACACTGAGTCACACACACACACACACACACACACACACACCTGCTCCTCCACACGCTCGCATCTACAGGACAACAGGAGAACACTGAGTCACACACACACACACACACACACACACCTGCTCCTCCACACGCTCGCATCTACAGGACAACAGGAGAACACTGAGTCACACACACACACACACACACACCTGCTCCTCCACACGCTCGCATCTACAGGACAACAGGAGAACACAGAGTCACACACACACACACACACACACACCTGCTCCTCCACACGCTCGCATCTACAGGACAACAGGAGAACACTGAGTCACACACACACACACACACACACACACCTGCTCCTCCACACGCTCGCATCTACAGGACAACAGGAGAACACTGAGTCACACACACACACACACACACCTGCTCCTCCACACGCTCGCATCTACAGGACAACAGGAGAACACAGAGTCACACACACACACACACACACACACCTGCTCCTCCACACGCTCGCATCTACAGGACAACAGGAGAACACTGAGTCACACACACACACACACACACCTGCTCCTCCACACGCTCGCATCTACAGGACAACAGGAGAACACTGAGTCACACACACACACACACACACACACCTGCTCCTCCACACGCTCGCATCTACAGGACAACAGGAGAACACTGAGTCACACACACACACACACACACACACACACACACACCTGCTCCTCCACACGCTCGCATCTACAGGACAACAGGAGAACACTGAGTCACACACACACACACACACACACCTGCTCCTCCACACGCTCGCATCTACAGGACAACAGGAGAACACTGAGTCACACACACACACACACACACACCTGCTCCTCCACACGCTCGCATCTACAGGACAACAGGAGAACACAGAGTCACACACACACACACACACACACACCTGCTCCTCCACACGCTCGCATCTACAGGACAACAGGAGAACACTGAGTCACACACACACACACACACACACACACCTGCTCCTCCACACGCTCGCATCTACAGGACAACAGGAGAACACTGAGTCACACACACACACACACACACACACACACACACACCTGCTCCTCCACACGCTCGCATCTACAGGACAACAGGAGAACACTGAGTCACTCACACACACACACACACACCTGCTCCTCCACACGCTCGCATCTACAGGACAACAGGAGAACACTGAGTCACACACACACACACACACACACACCTGCTCCTCCACACGCTCGCATCTACAGGACAACAGGAGAACACTGAGTCACTCACACACACACACACACACACACCTGCTCCTCCACACGCTCGCATCTACAGGACAACAGGAGAACACTGAGTCACACACACACACACACACACACACACACACACACGCACACACACACCTGCTCCTCCACACGCTCGCATCTACAGGACAACATAGAGTCACACACACACACACACACACACACACGCACACACACACCTGCTCCTCCACACGCTCGCATCTACAGGACAACACAGAGTCACACACACACACACACACACCGTGAGTGTGAGTGTGTGAGTGTGATTGAGCTGTAGTGTGAGTGTGTGATTGAGCTGTAGTGTGAGTGTGAGTGTGTGAGTGTGATTGAGCTGTAGAGTGAGTGTGATTGAGCTGTAGAGTGAGTGTGTGAGTGTGATTGAGCTGTAGTGTGAGTGTGAGTGTGTGAGTGTGATTGAGCTGTAGAGTGAGTGTGTGAGTGTGTGAGTGTGATTGAGCTGTAGAGTGAGTGTGTGAGTGTGATTGAGCTGTAGAGTGAGTGTGTGAGTGTGATTGAGCTGTAGAGTGAGTGTGTGAGTGTGATTGAGCTGTAGAGTGAGTGTGTGATTGAGCTGTAGTGTGAGTGTGTGAGTGTGTGAGTGTAATTGAGCTGTAGAGTGAGTGTGATTGAGCTGTAGAATGAGTGTGTGAGTGTGTGAGTGTAATTGAGCTGTAGAGTGAGTGTGATTGAGCTGTAGAATGAGTGTGTGAGTGTGTGAGTGTGATTGAGCTGTAGAGTGAGTGTGTGAGTGTGATTGAGCTGTAGTGTGAGTGTGTGAGTGTGATTGAGCTGTAGAGTGAGTGTGTGAGTGTGTGAGTGTGATTGAGCTGTAGTGTGAGTGTGTGAGTGTGATTGAGCTGTAGAGTGAGTGTGTGAGTGTGTGAGTGTGATTGAGCTGTAGAGTGAGTGTGTGAGTGTGATTGAGCTGTAGTGTGAGTGTGTGAGTGTGTGATTGAGCTGTAGTGTGAGTGTGTGAGTGTGTGATTGAGCTGTAGTGTCAGTGTGTGTGTGACTGAGCTGTAGAGTGAGTG